ACCAGGATGCACGTCTTGTGCCTTCCTTTTTTTTCAACTCGGCCAGCTTCTGCATGGCGCGCGCGCGCTTGCTGAGGACTGGGCCCTCTTGCTCGTGCACGGCCTCGGCGTCGTTGGAGGCGGATGGGGATGGCGCAGAACCGGGGTCGTCGGGAGTAGCACTCGCACCACGCTGTCCGGCACGTTTACGGGGCGTCTGCTTTGATGACATGACACTCGACAACATCCAACACAAGCTAACCCGCACTTGCCACCAGAACAGACTGACGGCCAGCTTTGTAGAAAACCTTCCACTGTTAAAGACTTGTAATATTTATTCTCTGGACTGTGCTGTTATCATTCTTAGTAGGTACCTAATAATTGGTACAACTCTATGGAGCTCTCAAGCTCTAATGTAACATTTCTTTAAATAAACAATCAATCAGTCAATCAATCAATCCCGGTGCAGCAACAAAAGCTCGGTTGGCGGATTGATTCGTGACAAGTGTCATGGCAACGATAGCAGACGGCTTCGAGATCGGGATTCAATCTAAAAGTAGTCCCCGCCCGCACTCAACTTACACGCCGCACCCGCCCCGCCCCGCTCGGCGCTCGGTTTTCCCTCCCATCTCCTTATTGGCATTTCCGTTTCGCTTATTTGTTTAAAGTTCGTTACCGACGTGATTAGCACTATTGCTGTTGAAAATACAGCTCAAGTGCAAAACTTTGATGTTGGTCTTCCCCTATCGACACCTGCTCCACTGCGCACGCAGCCCGGCTCGGCTGGACCAGGCGAGGCAGCCCAGCGCCAAGCCGGCAGCGGCGAGGTGGCGAGGAGGTCAGGTGGTCGGGCTAGTCGGTTAAAGTCGGGCTTTGCATGCCCGACGCCTCGGCGGCACAGTGCAATTGTAACGCCGAGAGAGAGCGCTGCCAGCGGCAAAGTGCTGTCTCTGTCGCACGATGGACTGTCGGGCAAGCGCGCGCGCCGCACCCGCCCAATCGAAAACACTACATCTACCCTTACATCAGTTCAGCCTGCCGTTCAGATCCACGGACAAGCAGTTAGAGTTAACAGCGACACCGTACCCCATCGCGTGCGCTCTGTGTCGTTGCGCCGGAGGACTTAGGCAACTGTTTTAAGTATGAGCTAGGTTCTTCTCCTCCCATGCTGTTCGATGATTCTGGTTTCATGCGGAAATGAATGAAATCTACACTAAACCAAGCTTTGCAGTCGTTTGCAGTCGTCCTCTGTCCTGGAACCTCCCTGTATGTGCTGGACGGGGGCCACTCTGCAGCCTGCAGCATGCGCAGTGGCTACGCCCAGCTACCTCCGCTCAGGTTGCCTCCACGTACTCAACTTCGTGCTACGGCTGAACACATCTACCAGCACTGTGGTGTTAGACGGTTGCGTGGGCGGGCCGATCATTCAAGACGCAGAGCACTTTCGACGAGGTACCGAAAACATGTCAGCAGACATTCAATTGGAGCCAGACCTTCCTTTACTCGGGAGACAGACAACTCACACCATCTAAGTCGCCCCAAGGCTTACTCGCCCCGATTTTGGGGCTGGAGCGAGTGAGTCGCAGACTTCTGCCATCTCACTTCACTCAAATATTTTTGTCAATTTTTGGCTGAGTGCCGATTAGCATCCGCAACCAGATTTAGATTAATCGAAACTAAAGGACACGAGGCCATCATTCGGGATCGCCCCATGAAGCTTTTCCATTGCTGACAGAATTTCGCCCTTAAATTTTGTAAAATTGAACCCGAAGTTATCATCTTTCTATCATTATTACTGTATTGTCTTTTTTTTTATGTATCCTTTTTATGTTTATTTACTTCAATCTGTACTTAAACATTTTAGTTGTGGTTGGAATTTGTGTTTAGTTGTTAAGTTTGTAATGTTGACATCTCTTCTTACAAACTAATCGTTTGCCAAATTGTGAATATGGCTATTGTCAATAAAAACTGTATATTGTCATGTAATTTTTTACTCATCGCTGTTATTTTAAATTGGTGTATATCATGAGCATTATTGTTGTGTGACTTTATGTCATATTAATTATTTTTTGCTGATGTAATGTTAATGATGTATATATTTTAGGTTGGCCATAGTAATCATGCTTAATCAGGTTGTGAAATATTGAAATTATATATAAGTTTATGTAATCAATTCGGTTATTGAAAATAAAACATTGGTATTAAATATTCAACTTTTTTATGTGTGATGTTTTTATTTTTCATTTGTCTATAATTTTTACCCATCCCTTTAATATCTGAACGCAACACTTCGTGTTGTTGGTAGTGCTGTGATGGTCGTTCCCCACGCAAAAATGAAGCTTTGAGTTGGCGTCTTTTCATTGTTGAATTTAAAATGACACTAAACACATAATTTTTTGGTTTAATCATACTTTTACTATTAGTATGAGTCCCAGTAAGTTACAAACTGGTGCCGTTGGAGGTTTAATTTCTGGGTTTAAGCGTGGAAACGAATATGTGGAGAATGAAGATTCAGCTCCATCAAAGAGAGCTGCTCGACGTCCATGGCAACAATCAAAAATATGTTGCGCTTTGAACTGTGGTAAAAGTGAAGAAAACGGTCCTTTAGTGACATTTCCCTCTATTTATCATATTGTGGATGGTGAAAGAGTTGTCTGTGATGAAACTGTAACAAGGTATTGCAGTTGTTTATTTGTGTACCTAAATAATTTTAAATAAAATAACATAAGAAGGCATTAATTAACTAATACATGATTATACTTGTTTTAGAATCAGAATTTGGATTTCAAATTGTGGCAATGAAGGTCTAAATAGTATAAATCCTGTCTCTCTCAACAAGAAATATTTTCTCTGCCGTAGTCATTTTCATGAAACTGAAATTGGTCCTTCAGGGCGGAAACTGAAGAATAATGCAGTTCCTCGTTTGTTTGATCATTTATTGTCTTCTGTAAGTAAATCTGTTTAATTTAACAGAAACTCTTATTTTGCTTAATTAATTAAAAGGTTTTGTTTGTGCAGATAGAGGTCCATCAGTCCCATCATGTTCATGGAGCACAATCTGTTGTAAGCTCAGCAAGTACCAGTGATGCAAATGATCATGCAGAATTTTCGCCTTTGACTTCTGTTGATTTAGAACAGTCCAAAGTGAGTAATTTTAAAATGGTCTATAAAAAGTATGATGTTTTATCAAAATTTATTTTTTCCCCTAAAATTTCGTTTACTTTTTATATTTACAGGAAGTTTTGCATGTTGATGATTGTCATTCAACAAACGCTGATCATGATTCTGATGGAACAAATCTCTACCTATCAGATGTAACATTATCTTATGTTTTAATCATATTAATCTTGCTAATTATTTATTGAAATGCTAAAATCTTTTTTTTATGTTATTCCCAGACTGATGATGAGGCATTTACATCTTACCGTGCCGATGAGGATCATTTGTACTGCAAATCCATTAGCAAATCACATGAAAAGGAACATGCTAATCAAAACAACAATAGCTCTGACAATGTTTGTTCTTTTCTTATTAATAGTTAAAATTGCTTAAACATTGCCTTAATTTATGTGCAATTTAAGTGCATTGAAATTACTTTTCTGTTCAACAGACTGTGGCTGATATTGGTTGTGTTCAAAGTGATCATAGTTACTTCCGATCTGAGCATAAGGCAAAAACTTGCACTAAAGGTAGTGTTACTCAATGTTGCTTCTCAGGATGCATGAATACGAGCAGAGAATACAAAATGTATAAATTTCCTAAAATTGTATGTGATGAAGGTCTTCATACAAATCTCTCAAGGGCTAACAATTCTAATTTTGACAGGTATGGGAAATTCAATTGTCAATATTAACAATGAATATGATGTGTAGGATAATTTGTCACACATTTACTTTAGGTTTATCAAATGGGTACTTGCCTCTGGTAATTATCAGTTGCTTATGTAAACACCGGATGGCGTACATTCCAAGTACCATGTTTGCGGTGAACATTTTTGCCAACCATCAATAGCCAACGGAGGTTCACGTAAAATGAAAGCAGGCTTGGTTCCCACTGTGAATCTAAATCCTTTCTCATCTGAAAAGGTTATTCATAATTATAAAAATGCTCTGAGTATTTGGAAAGGTAAACTGTCAGTTTTTCTTTGGTTATAAAGCATTCCTTAGTTACTGAACATTAATTATGTTCTACTTACTTTTATTTTATTCATCAGGTGGTTATGCTGGTGACCCATCATTATTCTATAATGATGAAGTATGTGCTGCCGTTTTTGATCAGAAGATGAAGAGTGTTTCTTATTACATATGTCCTCGTTGTAAAGTCAAGGTGCTTACCTCCTCTGATAAGAGGCAATCTGGATGTCCTTATTCTAAAAGATGCTGGCATTTCTCTGAGTTAAATGACAAGGATCCTGGCGATGTTCCCATAGAGCTGAGTGATTTGACTTTTATTGAAGAACAGCACATATCTAGAGTTCATCCCATCATTTCAGTTTTTAAGCTGAAAGGTCACCAATATGGGTATAAAGGGAATGCCATTTCCTTTTCTCAGAATGTTCAAGAGATTGCTTCTCAACTTCCCCATCGTGTTGAAGATTTACATCATGTAATATGCGTCCAGTTTGAAAATAATGAAAAAAAGTCTTATGATTTTCATGTCAGAGCTGATAAAGTTCATCAAGCTTTAGTTTGGTTGAAAAAGAATAACATCTATTACAAAGATATTGCTATAAATGAAGAAAATATTTCAGTTTTACCCGATGATGGTTCGGTGATTGATAAAATTCAGTGCCTGACATCAAATGGCAGTAGTTCAAAACCAACTGAACCACCTTTAGCCAGTTTTGATAGTGATGAGAAGATTCATGAGACATTTGTGCCTAATATCTCTCCAGTACTCCAGGATGATCAAATTAAGAAGAAATTGAAATGGCCAACCATGTCTACTGAACCCATTGATGAGTTCAACACTCCTGGATACATTGCATGTGCATTTCCAACTCTTTTTCCTCGAGGTGAAGCAGATCTACGAGCATCTAGATTGGTTACTGTGTAACCTGCCAATTATTTTAAACATCTTATTAACTACCATGATAATCGGTTTGCACAGCATAAAACGTTTCGTTTTTTTGCTTACAATTCACGTCTTCGATGGACTGCAATGAATGATGGCAATGTTTTTGTTAAAAATAATAAGGAATATCAGAACATGACAACTGCTCAACTTAAAGATCTCATAAGTGAGAATATGTCTGTAATGTCACATATTATGTATTATGGATGGAATATACCTGGAACCAAAGCCTTTTGGCATAATAATGGAAACAAATTACATGATATGGTTGAACAGATTGGTCTTCCATCAATATTTCTTACCATGAGTTGTGCTGATGGTCATTGGAATGATCTTTATCGGTTGTTGAGTGATGTAGATCCAAATTCGCTGACTGAACAAGATAGGAGAAGGTTGGTGCAGGATAATCCTCATATTGTGGACTCCTTCTTTGATTTTCGCATCAAGACTTTCCTAAGCGAGGTAAATATATAGTTTTTTGTTTGTTTTGCTATTTTCACTGGAATGATGTTATCAATTTTTTATTTTTCCTTTGAAGGTCCTGCAAAAACAATATAAAGTTACTGATTATTGGTATAGGATCGAATTTCAACATCGGTAAGTAAAATGAAGTTAGAACGTTTCTCAAAGAAATAATTTTTACCTTCACTTCATGCCTCTGTTATTGTTATTGTTTTAGCGCTCTTCATACAGTATGGTAGAAGATTTTGAATTAGACCTGGCTCAGCTTCTCCATAAAGTCCAAAGGCATACTCAATGTCACCCTGACACATGTTTTAAAAAGTTAAAAGAGAATGGGCTAAGGCAGTGTCGCTCTGGCTTTCCTATGACTGAGATGAGTGATGAAGCAAGCATCAAAAGATATGAAAAAGGTGACCTGCAATTTTTACCGAAGAGGAATGATCCTAGGTTAAACAAGTACAATAGATTTATTATTCAACTATGGAGAGCCAATATTGATATAGCTCCTGTTATATCGAGAAAAGCCATCATTGCTTACCTTTGTAAATATGTTTCAAAGTGTGAGATATCGTCAACTGGATTGCACAGCTTATTTAAAGACCTTGCTGAAACCTTGAATGATGAAGATAAAGCTAAAAGACTTATCCACAAGGTTTTCATGAAGTCATGTGCAGAGAGAGATATTCCTGCACAAGAAGTGTGCCATACTTTACTTGGTCTTCAATTGTGGTCTGCTGGAGGACGTGAATTTGTAAATGTAAATTTCTCAGAAAAGAAATGGCTATCTGTGTGTGATGATAATGATGATGGTATGGTTGGAAATAGTAACAGAAGCACTATTGAAAAATACAGTGATCGTCCTGATGCATTAGCTGAGAAATCCTTATGGCAATGTGCCCAACAATACAATATGAGGTCCTGGAAACTGAAGAAAAGACATATAGAGTCTTTTCTTATATTAAAAAAGAACTACAAGAGAAAAGTGATAATTACTATCGCCAACAAGTGATTCTTCATGTCCCTTGGCGTGATATTGATGATCTCAAGAATTCTGATCAGTCGTGGGAGGATGTTCACAACCTGTACTGTGTTGTTGATAAAACTGATATCAACTCTCAACTTGGAGATCTTGTTGAACCTGAAGAGGAATATGAAGAAGATCATTTACATTCTGATGCTGATGGTGAAGAAGAGTAACAAATTTTATCAAGGTTGGGACCTCACTCGTCCATTCCTACAGTTAATCTTGGGATGAGAGACGTGGATCTCACCTATAACTGGCATTTGAATTTCACGAAGTACGGTACATTGCCAGACATGGAGAATTTTATTTCTAATGCAAAAAAGCAAATTGAGACTGAAATTTTAACTGACGTATCAGCATCAAATGAAAACTGCTTTTTCAGTCCTGATCAACAGGTTGTTATTGATGTTGTACAGCAACAAATTGCTTCGACATGTGGCATCATTAATAAACTCGCTTCCTCCGACCGCGCTTCGCGCGGTCGTCGGAAGCTCGTCGGGTCGCCTTCGGCTCCCCCTGTGGGCGCCCTCGGCGCCCAAGCGGGGTTAAAATCGGGCTCGGTTAGGGGGCGCCTTCGGCGGCCCGAGAGGGTTAAATTCGGGCCAGGTTAGGGGGCGCCTTCGGCGCCCCTACGGGGGGAATGGGGTAAGAGCCTACCCGGGGCATATACTGCGTTCTAAATTTAAAGCTGAAACAAAAATAATACTAAAAAGAAAAATTAGAACAAATGTGTGAACCGATATCGGTTCCACATAACCTTACTTTCAGAATAATGATTTCACAGAAGATATACTATAAATCACAAAATCTCAGGGAAATGCAACTTTGTCAAATATATGCGATAAGAAGTATTTTCCAGTCCAAGTACGTCAGGGACCGAGAAATGCTTAGATTGGCCTGAGAAAAAATAAGAAAATATTTAGATACTGTAGCAAGTAGTAACACTGACAAAAGCGCGGGATTAGAACCAGCATTCTACGCATGCGCTGCCCCAGCACCACCTTTCACGGCATAAGAATGCGAAAAAGAAGAAGACGAAGAAGAACATCTATCACAGCCAGCCAGACGATATACCGCGAGATTTCAAACAACCTAGAACGCCGTGACCTGTTGTTAAGCAACCTGTTGTCAGGGACCTGTTGTTAAGGAAGGGGAATACCACTTAGACGCCATCACCATCGAATGTGTGCATTCCCTACATCAAATTTCTTCAATCTCCAAAACTTCCCAGAAAGGTAAAATCGGTTTATATTACTTAAACCAATGATCATTACTTTATCCTTTCTCTTTATTACATAAAATTTAACAATCTGAGAGAAAGATTTGAGAGAGAATTGAGCAAATTTTTACTCATGCTTTTGAATGTGGTGTTTTTCAATCTCATGCTCTCAACATAAGTGTTAAATATTAGTTCCAATGTGTGTAGTAGACGTTCTGCTAAAAGAAATAATACACTGTTAGAAAGAATCCTGGGATTACACAAAGGAGCACTCATGAGAACTACTACCAAAGTCCTTTAGGATTTCCACGGAAAAAAAAGATTCGCTGAGCCAGCTAATATATTGACTGGTATCTGGACAGACAAGCACATAAACTTCTGTAACCACTATATTGTCTACTCTAATCA